ATGTAAAGCTGGTTGGTACAGGTTTTGGGTTCTCTCAGGTTTTATTTTGGAGGGAACTGATGGCTTCCGATCAGCTATTCAGGAGCACCCACAGAAGCCCAAGTCAGGTTCCAATCAGGTACACTCAGGCTTCCTTCTAAGGTTTGGACCCCACCACATGGAGGCAGTATCTGGGTGCTCTCAGGCAGTCCCCCATGTTCTCAGCCCCTATGCCAGAGGAAGGCCAGAACCTGGCACTCTCCGGCGGTGTGCTGAGATCACAGCTGCTACACCAATCCTTGAACTTTTCCAAAAAAGTTATTTTTATTATATTTAATTATGTGTATGTGTGTGTGTGTTCACTTGCGTGCAGGTGCTCATGAAGGCAGAAGGCCCAATTTGTTAGATCCCCAGCAGCTGGAGATTGCAGGTAACTGTGAGTCATCTGGCATGGGTGCTGGGAACTCTATAAGAGCAGTACACACTCTTAAACACTGAAGCATCTCTCCAGCCCCAAAGCAACCCCCCCCAACATGTGTATCGTGTGTGTGCATGTGCACCTGTGTTTGTGCCCAGTGCCAGAGATTGACTTGGGTGTCTTCATTTTTTTGCTCTCCATTTTATATATCCAGGCAGGATCTCTCTCACTTGAACCCAATGCTGTGGGACACTTCTCCCTATCCTCTCTCCTTTAAGATCTAATGGCTCTCCCAACCTTCTCTGGCTTCTTCTTATTTGCTTTTACATAGAAGCATTTCCTCTAGCAAAATTTTTGCACTTTTCCTTTCATCAAGACAAATGTTTTCCTGAGTAGAAAAACACACAGAACATTCAAGAATTTCTTGAGGACTGGACATTACACCTGTAATCCCAGCACTTGAGAGACTGAAGCAGGAGAGACCAAATTCAAGGGTAGCCTGGCTTGAATATATAGGGTCTATACAGTGAGACTCTCTTACAAATAATAACAACAAAGGCTGGGAATGCAGCCTAAGCATGTGAGAGACCCTAGCAGGGGGGTGGGTGAGTGAGGTGGAGAATTTCTTTGTGTCTTAGCCATTTATAATACTCTGAGTTTGGGGCTGGGGAGATGGCTCAATGGTTAAGAGCACTGACTGCTCTTGCAGAGGACCTGGGTTCAATTCCCAGCACCTACATGGTGTCCAACAACCATCTGTAACTCCAGTTCCAGATCTCACACCTTCTTAGGACCTCTCCAGGCACTGCATGACACAGGTGCACTTACACACATGCAAGCAATACACTCATACACATAAAAAATTTTTTTTTCGTCTTTCACAGACAGGGTCTCCTTGTAGCTCCAGCTGACCTGGAACTCGCTATGTAGACCAGGCTGGCTTCAAATGCACAGAGATCTGCCTGCCTCTGCCTTCCAAGTACTGGGACAAAAGGCATGCGCCACCACACCTGCCATAAAATATTTAAAAAAATACTCTGAGTTTACTAATGTTTATGGTATAGCAGATAGCTCTCTGTGGGTAGTAAGGGAAAGGGCCCATGGTTGAAAACAGCTAATTGCTCATATATTGCAGTGAAAACAGGCTGGAGTTAAAAGATTAAAGATCACTATCAGTGGAGTCTGGAACACTGAGGGCAATTCATAAGAGGGCTTGTAGCTGGGTATGAAATAACCAAGCCAAACATAAGAGGAAGGACAAAGCTCTGGGCCAATGATGGCAGGCCAACTCCTGAAGCCCTTGAGGCAGATGTGAGGCACTATTGTCCTTTTTGATATTCTTGCTTTTAATGTTGCTAATTTTATTATTTTTTTATTTTATGTGTATGAGTGTACTGCCTGCATGTATGTGATGTGCAATACCATGGAGGTCGGTAAGAGGGCTTCGGATTCCCCTGGAACTGGAGTTAAGGACGGTTCGCAGACGTCATGTGGGTGCTGGGAATCAAACCCGGGTCCTCTGCAAGAGCAGTCAGTGCTCTTAACTGCTGAGCCATCTCTCCAGCCCTAAAACAACTTTTTAAAAAAATACATTTTTTTTTTATATTTTATTATAGTTTATGTGTATGAGTGTGTTGCCTGCATGTATGTGAGTTCACCCATGTAGTGCAATGCTCCGGAGGTCAGAAGAGGGCTTCGGATTCCTCTGGAACTGGAGTTAAGGACGGTTTGTAGCCGCCATGTGGGTGTTGGGAATTGACTGCAATAGCAGTCAGTGTTCTTAACTAGTCACAGCTGGTCTGGAACTCGCTATGGAGACTAGGCTGGCCTCGATCTCTCAGAGATTCACCTACCTCTGCCTCCCAAGTACAGGGACTAAAGGCACATACTACCACACCTGGCTTCAAAACTTTTTTGTTTTTGCTTTTTTTAAATTTTTATTTTATGTGCATGAGTGTATTACCTGCATGTATGTGAGTGCACCTGTGTTGTGCAATGCTGCAGAGGTCAGAAGAGGGCTTCGGACTCCCCTGGAACTGGAATTAAGGACAGTTCACTGCCGCCATGTGGGTGCTGGGAATCGAACCTGGGTCCTCTGCAAGAGCAGTCAGTGCTCTTAACCGCTGAGCCATCTCTCCAGCCCTAAAACAACTTTAAAAAAAAAATATCATTTTTATGTGTATGAGTGTGTTGCCTGCGTGTATGTGAGTGCACCCATGTTGTGCAATGCCATGGAAGTCAATTAAGGACAGTTCACTGCCGCCATGTGGGTGCTGGGAATCGAACCTGGGTCCTCTGCAAGAGCAGTCAGTGCTCTTAACCGCTGAGCCATCTCTCCAGCCCTAAAACAACTTTAAAAAAAAAATATCATTTTTATGTGTATGAGTGTGTTGCCTGCGTGTATGTGAGTGCACCCATGTTGTGCAATGCCATGGAAGTCAGAAGAGAGCTTCGGATTCCCCTGGAACTGGAGTTAAGCCTGGTTTGTAGCCACCATGTGGGTGCTGGAAATTGAATCCAGGTCCTCTGCAAGAGCAGTCAGTGCTCCTTAACTGCTGAGCCATCTCTCCAGACCCCCTAAAACAACTTTTAAAATTTTTATGTTTATGTTTTGCCTGCATGTATATATGTAAGTGTACCATGTATGTATCATGCCCACAGAAGCCAGAAGAGGGAACTGGAGTTAGAATTAACCACAATGGGGATGCTGGGACCTGAACCTGGGTCCTTTGAAGAACAGTGCTCATAACCACTGAACCGTTTTTCCAGCCCCAGATTAGGTCTTTAAAAAATATTTTTTACTTTTTGGTTTTTTTGAGACAAGGTCTCCCTGGAATCCCAGATAGCCTGGAATGCATTATGTAGACCAGTCTGGCCTTGAACTCACAAAGATCTGCCTGCTTCTGCCTCCTGAGTGCTGGGATTAAAGGTGCGTGCCACCACACCCAGCCGTGATTTATTATTTTCGTTTTATGTGTTTGAGTGTATTGTCTACATGTATGTAAGTGCACCCATGTTGTGCAGTGCCCAGAGGTCAGAAGAGGGTGTTGAATCCCCTGGAATTGGAGTTACAGGTGATTGTTAGCACCATGTGAATGGTGGGAACCAAACCTGGGTCCTCTGCAAGAGCAGCCAGTGCTCAACCACTGACCCTTTTCTCTTGTCTTCCAGATTAGGTTTTAAAATAAGGAAAGATAAAGCCAGGCATGGTGACATATGTCTTTTATCACAGCACTCAGAAGGCCAAGGCAGGCAGGATCTCAGTGAGATTTAAGGCCAACCTGATCTATATAGCAAGTTCCAGGCCAGTGGGGCCTACAGGGAGACCCAGTCTCAAAAACAGAGAAAGATGGGGCTGGAAAGATAGCTCAGAGCTTAAGAGCACTGGCTGCTTTTGAAGAACCAGGTTGGGTTCCCAACACTCACATGTTGGCCTACCATCTGTTACTCCAGTTCTGAGGGATCCAGTGCCCTCTTCTGTCCTCCATGGGCACTGCATCCACATGGTACACTTATATACATGTAGGCAAAACACTCAATGCACATAAAAAAAATACAAGTAGATAAAATTAAGTTTAATGAGGGTCTGGAGAGATGGCTCAGCAGTTAAGAGCACTGGCTGCTCTTGCAGAGGACCCAGGTTTGGTTCCAGCACCCACATGGAAGCTAAAAGCTGTCTGTAATTCCAGTTCCAGGGACATCCAGCACTCTCTTCTGACCTCCGTGGGCACTGCACAACATGGGTGCACTTACATACATGCAGGCAATATACACTCAGAGACATATTTTTTTTAGTTTAATAAAAAATGACAGTGACCATAATACTAAATCTGTATAAGAGGCTTCAGTTTTTACCTTTTTGCTTTTCATGGAGACCTTCATATATTTCAAAGAATTAGAGATGTAATTTTTGTATTTGGTTTATGCTGAATGCACTGTGATTTAAAATAATTATGTCATGAATTCTTTTAGTCCATGTTTGTAGTAATTGTTTTCATGTAATCAGTGTCATTGTCTATTGGCCTGTATCTATAATTTAATATTCTTGTTTGAACCTATAATGTAGAGTTTTGTTGTTTTCTTTTTTTTTTCTGTTTTTTTTGAGACAGGGTGTCCCTGTAGCCCGAGCTGACCTGGAACTTGCTATGGAGATGGGTCTGGCCTCAAATTTACAGAGTTCCACTGGCCTCTACCTCCAGAGTGCTGGGATCAAAGGCGTGCGCCACCACACCCGGCCCTGGTAATTTTTCCTTTTTGAGACATGTTCTCAATGTATCCTAGGCTTCCACTTCCAGTAACTGTACTGGAATTATAGGCATTTGCCATCACACCCAGTTTACGTGGTGATAGCTTTGTACACCGGATTGTAGGTAAGCAATCTGCCAAATGAGAGACATCCCCAAATTGCAGTAATTTTCTTAAATGTCTGTGCAGTAAGAGTCGTATTGAAGATAAAATGCTAGGAATTGATGCTGGGTTATTCACTCACCACACATGCCTAGTTGTCACTACCTATAAATCAAGTTTATGCCTAAGTAGAAGTATTAAAGGCCTCAATCTTTTGGAGTTGTGTGCAAATAGTTAAGACAACACATGTTAACTCTTTGAATGCCAAGTGTCTTCTGTACTTTTATTATCATCATAATCTTTGCATCAAGATACATAGTAATGATAGCAGGTTTCTTTTTAAAGCTTAGTATTAAATATTAAATATCTTCCCCATTTTAATTTTATTCTGGCAAGAAAAAAAATTAAACTCAAGTTATTTAAAGCCAGGACATATTTCCATGATTAGCCGGGCTACATAAAATGTGGTTTTATTTTTCCTGTCATGTAAGCAGGCCCTAGAAAGATGGGACCAGGTTATAATTTTTGAAAAGTGTGCTACAAAATGGATGGCCTGTTATAAGCCAGGTTACAAAGTAAGGATAAGGGTAAGGGGGGAATATTTTCTTCAAGAAAAAAGCAATTTCTGAAGAATCAGTCCATAATTTTTTTCCCCAAAATGGCTGGAGGAATGGGTGAAATCTCAACGTGAGCTTCAAAGTCCTGTCCATGAAGGACCAGTAGTTGTTTTGCTGAGAAAGTGGCTGTGAGGAGGGGGTAGCTGTGTTGACCATCCCAACGCCCCTCAGCTAAGGAATGGAAAGTTTATTGCCTAATGGCTGTGAAAGTGAGCTGAAGCGACTGGTACTGAATTCTCTAAGGTTTCTTCTAGAAACAGACAACTCAGACTCTTCCTCTTGCTTCAGCAAAGAAGTAATTTTTTTTAAAAGCACTTGGGAAGTTCCTCCTCCACCCCTTAGGTGGGAAGGCTCAGAGAAGGGAGTCATCAGTACAGCCACCTTCTAGACCATAGCGGAATTCCTGAAGGTTGGAGACTCCATAGAAGTGGACAAAAGCTGCTGCCACCACCAGAACATGGAAAATCTGATGAGACTGGAACTGCAGGAATAAACAGAGAACAACTGTTGGGATGATGCGAGGAATTAGAATAAGGAGGAGAAAGCATTTGTCTCTTGTAGTTTCTCCTTAGAAATTATTTTACAACATAAAAGTCATACTTACAGAAAATTCTTTAAAAATCCATCAGTTTTGCCAATATGTTATCCTCCTCCACTAATGAACACTCATTTATATCTAAATCTTTCACAATGCAATCTTTTATAACCTTTTACTCAGAACTTTGACACTGGGCCAGTCACTCCCTATCACAGACCCTGCTGAAGGAGTCATTTCTTACCCATATGTCAAATTTTCCAGGAAAGAAGCGCTCAGGAATCCGAGCAGCATAAAGGCCAGCACCGGTGATATACATCACAGCCATGAGGAAGAACCAGCCCATCTGGCCTACTGTAGTGGCCTTGACAAAGCCCTCAGCGATAGTAAAGTGCATGGTGGGCACAACACCACTCAAGCCAAGTCCCAGGAACACTCCTGAACAAAGCAAACACAACTTGTCAATCAGGGAATAGTTACATGGAAAGCTCTGCTGCCAAATGTAGAATCCATGTTTAAGATACACAGCTATTTTCTGATGAGTAGTACATGTTTAGGAAGTTTAGCCAAGATGGGTAATAGTCTTTAGATAGTTCTTGTGGGTCCAGAATGAAGAGACAGCTATTACTGAGCACCAAGAACATCTTGAGCCAGGAACGATGGCACATACTACAATCCAGCACTTGGAGACTTAAGACAGGAAGACTGCCACAGCTTCAAAAAAAAAAACCAAGCCTGGAGTACATAGTGAGTACCAAACCAGACAAAACACCCCCTTCCATAAAACCCAAATATTCTTTTTCTTCCTTTGGTGGTGCTGGGGATTGAACCGAGGAATTTGGGCATGTTGGCAAGGCATTACTCTATCACTGAGCCATATTTCCAGCCCAACATCTCATATTCAGGCAAAGATGTTATGTCAAGAAGCTGAGGAGATGGCACCGTGGTTAAGAACACTTGCTGATCTTCCAGAGAACTGGTGTTTGGTTCCTAGCACCCATGTCAGGTGGCCCACAACCATCTGGTAACTCCAGCTTGAGGGGATCCAATGCCCTCTTTTGGCCTCTGTGGGCACCCTCACACATGTGACACACATAAGTAAAATAAAAAAATTTTTAAAGTATGCCAAAAATCCTTCAATGGCTGACTTGGTACAGATCCGCCAGAAGGGTAGGAAAGGTCTCCCATTAAGATCGTAAAGCAACCTGTACATGATTCAGACCAGTCAAAATTCCTGTATGCAAGCTGGAAAGATGGCTCAGTGATTAAGAGCACATACTGCTCTTCTAAAGGACCCAGGGTCAGTCCCCAGCACCCATTATGGCTCATAACTGCCTGCAACTCTAGCTCCAGCAGACCCAACACCCTCTTTTAGCCTCCACAGGCACCAGCACTCATTTGGCATATATTCACATAGACACACAACATACGCATAAATAAAAATCTTAATTTAAAAAAATTTTCAGCATGCATTGGGAAGGGGCTCATGAGACCCTGCCCTCTAGCTGAGGAGCTACTGGCAGCTGATGGCTGCTGGGGGAGGGAGGGAATGGAACCACGTGCATATGGGCAACATCAACTGGACTCAAGGGGTTATTAAAAAATAAAAGGGAGCTGGGCATGGTGGCTCATACCTGTAATCCTAGCACTCGGGAGGCAGAGGCAGGCAGATCTCTGTGAGGCCAGCCTGGCCTACATAGTGAGTTCCAGGCCAGTTGGGGCTACAGGGAGACCCTGTGTCAAAAAAAAGAGGGCATGAAGTTGGAAGGCAGATGTGTTCAGGAAGGTCTAGGGGAATTGGGGGACGGGTAGGTATGATCAAAATAGACTATATACATGTATGAAATTCTCAAAATATTTTTAAAAATCATTAAAAAGACTTAAGCAACCAAGACTCTGATCTTCTGAGTGGACAGGAGATACCCAGATGAGCAGCTATCTGAAGCTGTAGGCATACACAAAGGAGACAGGTGTGGTGGCACACGCCTTTAATTCCAGCACTTGGGAGGCTGCAGGTGGATCTCTGTGAGTTCCAGCCAGCTGTAGGGAGACTCAGTCTCAAAAAGACCAAAAATAAATAAATTAATTAAATAAGTGGGTTGAAAACTAGTGGTAATTGGTATTGCTGTAAGTAAAAAAAAATCTAAGTTGAGGCTGGAGAGATGGCTCAGCAGTTAAGAGCACTGACTGCTCTTACAGAGGACCAGGGTTCAATTCCCAGCATGGTGGCTAACAGCTCTACGTAACTCCAGTTCCAGGGGAATCTGACGCCGCCTTCTGACCTCCACAGGCATTGCAAGACACTGGTGCACTTACATACATGCAGGCATACTCTCATACACATAAAATGAAAATAAATCTATGTAAGTCAATATGCTTACAACTATTACATTAGTTACTTCTAATATTTATGCTCAAGGTATTTTATTCACCAAACCAGAAATCCCATTCCTGGTAAAATACCTCTGGGTGTGTTGTTTTATTTGTTTTCAGACAGGGTCTTACTCTGTAGCCAAACTGGCTTCAAACTCCTGTAATCATCCTGCTTTAGTCTCCCAAGTACTGGGATTATAAGCATAAATCACACCTGGCTTTGTATGTTAATTTTAACACCCCCCCTTCACTAAAATGACAGTGCTTGCTGTTTTTGAACTGTCTTAAAGTAACAGAGCAGTCAGAGAGTACACTTGAAGCCAGTTGTCTGGCTGGATGATGATCCATCCCATCAACATTGTACTGAAATGGTATGAAATGTGAAGGAAAACAGCTTTGAAAATTCATGCCATGTTTCAAATTCTCAACATAAATCAGGGTTGGGTGGGTTTCACAAACTTAGAATTAGGCCAATTAGGCCCAAGGTCTAATATTGCTGAGGTTTATAACATGCCTTCTTACCTACTAAGCTTGTTTGTTATTTGGGGTATTAGGGATTGAAACCAGGGCCTCGTACATGCAAGCATGCTATGTAGCATGGCATTGTTTTTTGTTTCTAGACAGAATCTCGTTAGATGACCACACTGGTCTTGAATTTTTTTTACAAAAACTATTTATTGCGTATGAGTGTTATACGTGCAAGTATTTTAAGTGTGCATGTACTGTAAGTGTACCCGTGTTGGGCAATGCCTGAGGAGGCCAGAAGAGGCCATCAGATCCCTTGGAACTGGAGTTACAGACCGCTGTTAACAGAGCCCAGGTCTCCAAGAGCAGCTAGTGCCCTTAAGAGCTGAGCCATCTCTCCAGCCCCTGCCCTTGAACTTCTGATCCATCTGAACCAGTCTAGCCTCTTAAGTAGTTTAAAGGTGTATAGCACCAGGCCCAGCCCTACTCACCTGCTCTTGTCTGCCGGTGCTTAGGAGTGGCAAACCGATCCCACTGTGCCACAATGATAGCAGAAATGCCCAAGACACAGACGATGGAGAGGTAGATGAGCCGTGGCTGTGGGGAGCAGTAGAAGGAGTAATAGAGCCAGGGGACAAAGCTCCCCATAATCAGTAGAGCAATCCCTGAATAGTCCAGTCTAAAAGCAAGCCACAAAAATCAGATGAATGAATGGAGAAATGAAGAAGTCCTGTGGCTCATACATGAGTTCACTGTTCTTTACTTGCAACCCAGATTTGATTGTCTCTAGTCTCACTACTCCCTAGAATCTATCCTGTACCAAAATTCCACAGGGTTGCCATGTGTGGTAGTGCACACCTTTAATCTCAGCACTCAGGAGGCAAAAGAAGGCAATCTCTTTGAGTTGGAGACTAGCCTGGTCTACATAGTGAGTTCCAGGTCAGCTAGGGCTACATAGTGAGACCCTGTCTCAAAACAACGAAACAAAACAGCAAAAAACTCCACAGGGTTGAGCATTTTTTGCTTTACAATAAAAAATTCTCTTAAGAAAGCCAGGTGTAGTGGTTCATACCTGTAATCCTAGTACTTGGGAGGTAGATCTAAAGAATGAAGAGTTTAGGGAATACATACTGAGTTTAAGGCCAGCCTGGGCAAAACAAACCCTTTTAAAAGTTCTACCACAATCCTGCTAGTTCCTAGTATCATACTTCGGGGGTTCTGCATATTTTCCCAATTGGGTAGAGTTCTAAAAACAAAACCTTTAGATTTAGGAGCATTATTAAGATATTTTTGTTTGTTGAAAGACAAAGGCCTAAACTCATTATGTAGCCCCAGCTTGCCTCCATTTTTTTTTTTTTTTTTTTTTTTTTTTTTTTTTTTTTTTTTTTTTTAAAAAAAAAAAAAAAAAAAAAAAAAAAAAGAGGACGATAAATCTTTCACTGTGATATATCAAAATAAGCACCTACCTCTGCCTCCCAAGGGCTGGGATTAAAGGCCTGTACCACTATGCTTGACTTCTCCAACTTGTTCTTGATTTTAGGTATACTTTTGCTTGTTCTGTTTACTTTTTCCTTAACAAAAAAAAATAATAATAATAATCTGTGTGTGTATGTGCACGTATTCACCATGGCCCACATGTGAAGTCAGAGGACACCTTGCAAGAGTTGGTTCTTGCCTTCCACCATGTATTTGGGTTCTAGATATTGAACTTAGGTCATCTGGTAATAAGTACCCTTACCTACCAAGCCATCTGGCCAGACCTCCTTTTTCATTTTTCTTTTCTTTCTTTTCTTTTTAGATAGTTCTGCTCTGTAGTCCAGGCTGCTGGTTTAAAATTCACTATGTAGTCCAGGCTGGCCTCAAACTCACAGCAATCTCCTGCCTTAGCCTCCTGAAGACTATATGTACAGCTTTTCCTTTTTGGTTTGACACAGGGTCTTGCTATGTTGTTCAGGCTGGTCTATAACTTCTGGGCTCAAGTGGTCCTCCCATCAGCCCACTGAGTAGCTAAGAATATAGGTGCAGTCTGTACATATTGGGTCTGAGCATGGTCAAGATTCCCAAAAAAAGAGAAACAGCACAAAACCTACATGGGGGGAAAAAAAAAGCCCAGAAAACTGAGAAAAGGGGAAATTATGCACTTTGACAGACAGTAGCCAAAAGGAATCTACCACCATTACTACCATAACAAACAGCAATAACAACAACAAGAACACAAGTAAACAGAACCCCATGCTGGACTGAGGAAAAGGAACTGCATCTGACAGACACTGGTGCTTCTAGAATTGCCTGTGTGACAAAGATAAGCTTTCTTTGCCTGGGAGCAGGAGCAGCAAGAGGCACAGACTGCCACGCCCCACTGCGGCCCGAGCCAACAGAAAGATAAGCTAGTATTTGGTATGAGGCCTTGAAAAGCAACCCACTGACTCCTCAAGTTTCATAAAAGATAGTACTGTTCAGGTAAAAACTGCATCCCAGAATTCCTGTAGAGGAAGTTGCATAAGTTTTTCACGAACTTTTTACAAGAAAAACTTTACCAACTTGCTGTAACAAAAGTTTAATTTCCTTGGCCACAACAGGGATTCCTTAGGAGTTAGAGGGGCCCTAACCACCTGGTCAGCACTGGAACAGGATGCGACAATAATGCACATGGTCTTTGCTGCTGCTGTTCTTTCAACTTACTTGGAAAAAGTTCGAGAGACTTTCTCTGAATGACAATAGACAGTGTGGAAGAGCCAGGAGAAGCTGAGGCAGAGCACTGCACCCAAAAAGAACATTCCAAAAACCACCTTCTCCTGCAGAGGAGCCATGAAGTACATATTTGGTCTGAGCATGGTCAAGATTCCCAAGAAGAGAAACAGCACAAAACCTACATAAGGGAAAAAGAAAAGAAAAAAACAAAAACAGAAAACTGAGAAAAGGGTAAAGTACACTCTCTCCAGTCCCCCACTCCCCACCCCCTTTTTATAAGACAGGGTCTTCCTGTAGCCCCAGCCTGCCTTGGACTCACTATGTAGCTGGTCACTGGCCTTGACCTCACAGAAACCTACCTGCCCCTGCCTTGCCAAGAACTAGGATTAAAGGTGTGCATGTACCACCATGCCTGGCCAGTCCCAGTTTCTTATTTTTGGCCTTCTACCCTCAGTCTTAAAGATTAGCAATCAAGAGTCAACTAAGGTCAATGGTGGTTTAAAGACAAGACTCCAGCTATCAAACATTGAGAGCAACTTTATTCTTTCCCCATGGACAAATGCTATAGAATCCCTTGGTAATTAAGACTGGGTTTCTTCCTGAGAATACTGCTTAGTGGTATAGCACTTCAAAAAATAACATGATAAAATAAAAATTGGATTTTTCCTCATTCAAATCACTCACCAAGCAGATGGGTCCAGATGTTGCCAGTTTCTGTGTGGATGCGGAAGATGCTCTTGAAGCAAGCCCGAAAGGAGGGCATAGGTGGTCTGTGGCCATGTAGCAGGTAGTCATTGTCTTTTAACCAGTCAGGAAGCACATCATATGGAATGACCCTCCAACGCCCCTCCCAGACCTACAATACACACAGTGCCTTTAGATGGGGCCATGGCGAAAACTAGCTTTCTTGAAAATATTAGAAGCACTGATGAACTGAGCTAAAAAGCTATCAGTCAGGCTTCAGATGGACCCAAGCCACAGTGGGGAGGAGTCTGGACTAGGAGGAATCAAAGACACAACACAATTCGATCAGCATGATTCATATTTTGACCTTTTTTAGGCTCCTTGAAATCTCAAAATTAAAATGAAATAAAAGAAATTATAGACATGTTTTTCATAAACATAGATCCTTCCTCTGCCCTTTTCCGGGAGATTCTTTTTGTCTCTCACGCTCCTTGACCCCAGTCACATTTTAAGTTCTTACTGGGCTGGGACTACATCTTTGTAAGGCAAGGCAAAAATTCTAACTTAAAAAGTGGTGGGTGGGGTGTGTGTATGTATGCATGTGCAACAGTACTCATGTGGAAGCCAGAAGACAACTTGTGGGAATTGGTTTTCTCCTTCCATGGTGTAGGCTCTAGGAACTCAACCCAGATCATCAGGCTTGGCAACAAGCACCTTGACCCACTCAACCATCTTGCCAACCCTGAAAATACATTTCTATATACAAGTTTTACAGATATCTTGAAATGATGTTTCTATCTATAACTATTTAGAAGTACAAATTTTATATTTATGTTAGGGCCTGCCACAGACACTTAATATGACATTAAAGGAGCTCATATTATCGTATTTAAGTATTTTGGTAACTGCCAAAGGGATCCTCAGAAAAAAAAAGGTAAGGACCCATTTTGGTGTTTATCTTGAACAATGCCCAACATAGTAGGTAAATTTTAGTTATTCTTCACTTTCAGTTACTTTACCTTAGTCAAAAAAACAAATCCAACCAACAAAAAAGCCAAGCCCAACTACAGGAGTAAATGTTCTTCAACTCCAGTTAAGCTTGCCAGTTAGAAATATCCCAGAAAAGCCTGCTTCCCTTCTCTTTCCACGACAGAAGTTCTAGACTATACCTTGTATACGAACTCCTCCATCTTCTCCATGGCATGGTGGGCCTGCAGGGGAAGTGTCAGCACCCGCACCTCCTCCTCTTCTTCCTGAGGCACTGGGCATGTTTGCTCTTCCTTAGTCTAAGGAAACAACAAACACACCAATCCAGAATATCATCTCCTAAACTATACCATTCCTGGTACTGATCCAAAGCAGCCCAAACTCAAGGCATTCCATCCAGCCTCTTCCATAAAGCCTTGTGTCTGTCTCCTCTCCAAAAGCATGACTCTTACTGAATTCACAACACTATAGGTTGAGATTCTTGCTTTGCCATTGCTGAAGTTAAAAGTTCTATATGGCATAGAGGAGGTAGACTCTGGCAGAGCCTAACCTTTAAAGGACACCTGCCCTATATACTCTTTATTCATGTAAATTTTCTTATAGGTACGTATCGCCCTAGATGGCCAAATGACCCATTCTCTCTTTTAAATGTTTTTTACATTTATTTTACTGTACATATTCGTGGGCTTGTGTGCACATGAAAACATGCATGTGGAAGCCAGAAGACAACTTGAGGGAGTCAGTTCTCTCTTACCACATAGATTCCAGGAATTAAACTCAGGTCATCAAGCTTGGCAGCAAGCACCTTTACCCACTGAGCCATCTCACTGGCCCACATTCTCTTCTCTAGGCCAAGCAGTCCTCAACTTTCCCCAATTTCCCGAATAGTTTTCTCTTCTAGTCTACTAATTTTCAAAACAACAAAAAAAGCAGTCTCAGGGATTTCCCTGGCAATCTTGTTTACAAAAGTACTAGGTACACTTTGGGAAATGAACTCCACAAAGCTCATAGAGAGAAAAATGAAAAGATCCCTAAAATATAGTATGATACACTTGGATAGAGATGTTCCCAAGGTACCATGGTTCTTCCCTTTGGAAGTAAGGTTGAAATATTAGAGAATAAAGAGGTTGTTTGAGAGGCACTGGTCAGGAGAACAATTCTGGGAGACACCTTACCTTAGTTGTATTGGTGGTTACCCGCTTGCCTTTCTCTTCCAGCAGGGGACCCAGTTCAGCTAGTTCCACTGTGTCAGTTTCTCTGTTACTGGATGGTACCCCATTGCCCTGTGCCACCACCGATCCTTTGTGGGAAGACATCTGGCTGGTACCTCAATACCCTGTAGCTTCAGCTTGGGGAAAGGTTGGGGTCTCTCAGCCCCAGGGGGCAGAGATCTTCCTGTGATAGTAGACGCTAAAAGCAAACAAACATGAAGGGTACTGATGATGTAGAATTCATGTCTGTAATTCCACAATGAATAAGACACAGCTAATCAGCTTATACTGTCTCTTAATTGTAAAGGCTTGCTCATCGTTAGATGAAATCTATTCCTGTCTTCTCTTTAGTATTACCCTTCGCCCCGAAACTCACTAATCTTATATATGAAGCTGAAAATTTAACACCTAGATCTCCTTGCTGTCACAGGATCTATAGTCACTGCACTAAATTGTCACCATCCAGAAACAGTCCCCACACTAAAAAGTCCCTCCTATAGGCATGGAGCCCACTTAGTGAGAAGAGGCATGTCTACTCCCCAAATTCACTCTGCCCACGGAAGGTCTAGCTCTGAGACTGAGAACAAAAATAAGCCCAGCTGAAGGCTGTTCTTCTGTTAATGCCCTCTTGCAGTGTATTCAATAAAAATGTTTTCTTTCTTTTTCAAATGCAGCCCACATCTGGTTACAATGATTAAAATATCACACAGGCTTAATAATGAACTAAATGCCAACTAAACTCACTTAGCCTTTATCTATAAATATTTGAACAAATGTGTCTTACATGGAAAAGGCTAGATATATTCACTGGTTAATTCCTTTGCAAAGCTACTATTATTTTAGGGTTACAGCCTAGGTTCGACACTCCAACAAGCTTTCATCACCTTTCTCTTACAGCAAGCAGTAACTTACCTGCAAGCAGGAAGCTGAAGACAAGGAGGCAGCCCTTTGCCACATACATACCTAATCACTGGCTCTGCAAAAGCTTGTTCCAGCCACCACAACCCATAAATCTAAGTCCCGCTCAAATTAGTTTTTCAGAAACTAGATACAGGTGTATGTATCATTTAGGACAACCAACATTCAGTTTTCTCAGAAAACAAACATTTTTGGTTATCCTGCCTTGGACTTGATGTAATATTTTTAATTAGGCTTCAGGCAGGTATAAATAATAGAGAAAAGAGAAGGAAAAATTTCAAAGACTTCTACTATGTTGTAAATTACTAGCTATTCTTCCTCCCAGACAGAAAGGACTTTGTCTAATCATAGCAACAGCACAAGCCAGAATATTAGTATTTTCTTGTACTGGTTAACTAAGCCTTAATAAGCACAGCACAATGCAGAGGGCCTAGAGTGGGCTATACTATGGGACAGAAATTGAAGCTTAAGAACCTCTTATGTTGATAAGTAAACACTGACTGTTCCCTAAGGACACGCTGCATCACCCATGGCAGCTCACTATATAAACAAACATCTTTGGCATCTTGTACTAGTTTTTAACCAATAGTAATCCCAGTTCCTTCTCGGGGGTTATAATTAGGTATATGTAGTCAGGTATGATGGTTAATTTTAGGTTTATCAGCTTGTTTTGATTAAGGGGCATTCTGATAATTGGTAAAACATTCTTTAAGGGTGGATCTGTGAAGGGGTTTTGGGAAGAGACATTTGATTTAGTGATCTGAGTAAGGAAGAATCTGCTCTTACCCAGTGGGAGAGCGCCAGTCTAACCAGTGAGGTTACCATAGAAAAGAACCATACAAAAAGTGAACTTTCTTTTTACAGATGGAAATACTTCTTTTGGACATCCAGAACTCTAAGTTCTCTGGCCTTTGGACTCTGGGACTTGTACCAGCAGCCCAGGTTCTCAAGCATTCAGCCGCCAACTGATAATTACACCACCATTGGATTCTCTGGTTCTCTGGCATGCAGATGGTCTATTATGGGAGTTAACCTCCACAGTTGTGTGAGCTAATTTTCATAACAGATCCCCTTATCTATCTACCTACCTACTTACCTATTTCCTATTGGTTCTTTCTGGAGACACCAGACTAATACTTTAATCTGCCCTCAGGTGAGAATAATCCTCAAATTTTAGGGCAATCATGCATCATTCTCTGCTTAACACATACATATAGCTGAAAGAGTCACATCTAGTTTCAAAGAGACACAAACAATAACTCATTGTACAGTAGACCTTTACAGGATGACAAACAGTTCCTCCTTCCTTAAGTATACAAGACTGTGACAAGACAGATGCCAGCACACAGTCATAATCAACACTTGAGAGTTCAGGAACAGGAAACCAGAGGCCCCTGAAAACCTCAGCAGATAGGCAGCTCACGTGAGAAGAAATATTGGGAAATCTTCCTCAACAGCTGACCTCTAAACATATTTCCTTAAAGTGAAGTACTACTAAATAAAAAGCTCTACTAAGACGTAATTTATAACACTGAGCAACAAACAAGCAGCAAATAGCTCTAAGCACCTTCAACAAAGTCTGAAAAGAAGAGCACACTAAGTTACCAGTTATTTAAAGCAGGCCACCAGGACAGAAACTAAACAAAAAGCACTCACATTCTGGAATGCAATACTACATTGCTCATAAAATGATGCATATCTATAATTTTGGTCAGAACCCACATTTCGAAATGAATGAATGAATGGGGGCACATTTCAATCATCTAATGTATGATTAACCTTACTGCTGGCCAAGGTTTCTGTACTTTTTCTTATACTGTGGGCCTTTATTCTATCTGTTCTCCCAGAGTACGATTACTGAATATTTAACAAATTTAGTACTAGAACCTTAAACAGTCTAAGGTTTTGTGTGAAATATAAGTTGAACAAGTTATGTCACTGTTTCTGGTATAATCAGATGGCATGAGTTAAGTTTGTGATATGTCCAAATTAAATGACACAATTTCATTGTTCCAGGGGAACAGGAGAAGAGAATTTTTGAGGTAGAATGGTCACACACTTAATTCAGTTGAGTGCTGTATAATTATTTTACTAGTGGCAACAAGAACAAAGATACAAAGTTTAAGTTGTACAGCTAGAGTCTAAAGATCAGGAACAGAGTCCAACTTGGTAATTTTACTCATTTATTTGACCTAAAAAGTTTTACACCTTAAAATTTCTTAGCCATCATCAACGTTCTTTCCCTTTTCAGTCCAAACCCTTTGTTAATTCTGCTTCTGTCCAGCTCCTCTATCACTAGCTACTACCCATCCCATCTTCTTAGACCCAGAGTCACTAACCCTAACAGCCACCACAGGTAACCTACAAAGCAACCATCAGCTGCAATTCATCATACAAAGTATATCATCATGCATTAAAGTACATACAATGAAGGTCAATGGAGATCATGTCAGCATAGTGAGCAAAGTCCATTGTCCAGTTTGGTCTTCTAAACTGTAGCAACACAGAGACAGGAAAGGGAGAGATAGGGATCTGAGGTCTGGCAAGAAAAAAGAGCAAACCCTGAAAATAACACTTCTATGGGAGTGGACCACTCACCAACAACTGGTCATTACAAGCATCTTAGACTGTTAACATAAAATCAGCACAAACCCCTAAGGTGTTAAGACTGACTCCCAAAGACTTAAGAGAGCCAAGATACACTTCCAACTTTGGGCCAGCTTTGCTTTCTATGTCCTTTATGCATTTTAGAGCAAACACCTTTCCTCTCAAACTTGCCACACCCAACACAGCAAATTATAATTGAACCAAACTCCAGAGTGCATTTTTGATGAGATTTCTTCAACTCAAGCTAATAAACCGTTACCACTAAGCGTCTCAACTGGAAAAATGTAGGATATTATAGAGTAAAGCTGTGGAGAAAGGGAAGTGTTTTATGTTCCTACAAATAAGATAATCCTGCACCAAACTTGGAGAAAAAGTTGAGTCTTAATCACCAGCCAGTTAACTGGAGAGTTTATTTCCCTTAAGAGATTTTGAAGATATTTATTCTCTGGAGCAGTTCCCAAGTTTTCCAAGCTATGACACACTCTTTCCCTGGAGTAAAAGGCTCAAAGGTTCTAGAAGATTTTATCTGAGGTTCTGGACTCTTAGGTGATTTTGTAGGTAGGTTCTATGTGTAGCCCGATTCTCACTGTTCTAAAGAAAGACCAGGTTAGCAATATGGACAAAGACCCATCCTCTCCTCTACCTACTCTTTGTCAGGGAAGTTAATTTCTTAACTCTACTAGAGAAAAATGAGTCAAGGCAAAGGGCTGTGTTTGAAATTATGAAACTCCAGTAACAGGATCTCAGCTCTTGATGCGAATCATCAGACTCAGAATCTGAAGGGGAACAAGTCTCAGTCTAACTTTCTTTGTAGCTTTCTACCAGTTAAAGCTATCCCAATAGAAGGTTTTTTAATCTCAGAGGCAGGTAAATTTTCCTAAAGCCAGAACAATAATTAAAAGGAAGAGGAGGGAAGAAAGGAGAAGAAAGAGAAAAGGGATTTTCATACCACCACTCCTGCCTTTTTGAGACATGGTCTTGCTATGAAGTTCTGGCTGGCCTGATGCAACCTGTGTAACCCAAGTTGGTCTAGAAATCATGGCAATCCTCTTGCTTCAGCTTCCTGAATGCTGGGACTACAGACATACACCACCATGTAAGTACCTTAGCTAGCTCTGCTAGCTCTTTTATAAATATTTGGTCAATACAGTTGCATAAAACAGCACTCATTTAAAAGCCCCAAGGACCAAAAGCAAACTGACAGGTGTGGCCTAAAAAACCAATCAGCTGTACCTGATTTGGCTACAGGGCATTTTCAAGATCTTTTCAAGACTGCTACAAACTTTATCATCATTCCTCATGCCCCCAACATTTTGAGCAGCAAAATGGGACCAGCTTCAGCATGGTGAGTAAATTGTCTGATAGGTAAAATTAGGAACAAAGGGACAGTAAGGACAAAATGTAACAACTTTGATAAATACCAGCACCAGAAAGAAAAAAAACAAAAACAAAAACTTTACTATACCTTCTAGTTATAAAGATGACAACAGGGTAATCACAGTAGATGGGAAGGATAATGTAGCAGGAGTGTTAAGAGTTTGGGGTTGGCTTTATACTACTTTCTACAGAAGTAAAGAATGAATTTACTGGTCTACAAGGAAGGGCCACAGCTGTCCTTTAATCAGAATAATTTTTGAGTATTACAATATATACAGTGTTCTAGCTACAGAGATAAGGCAGGAAGAGTAGGAGGCCTGAAATGGTTGTAGGGCCTCTAAAGAAAGGAGAAAAACTTGTTTTCTAGTAGCATTGCTATAAGGCTAAGTGCCAATAAGTGTGGGAGGAATTGAGAAGAAAAGCTCCGTGTTAGTTGAAGTGATCAGGAAAGCTTTGGGGAAGTATTTTAAGAAAAGATTTGATAGAGATGGTAGCAGGGCATTCCAGGAGGGTACAGTAGTATAAACAAGGGCACGAAGAAATCCGGCACCCAGGACAGTGAGTAATCCATTTTTCCATCAGGGAATCTTGGAAAAGGCAAAATGAGGTCATTCTGAAAAGACATCCTAAAAGCTGTGGTGTACTCTACCCAATCAGCAGTGGGGGCCTACTAAATTAAAGCTGCATCCTACAATTCTCTCTTATGTGCAGGCAGTTATCACTTATTCCTCAGAAATCATGTCATTTCTGGACCACGGTGAACAGGACAACTTCAGAGTCTACTCTGCAAGTAGGTATAGTTAAGATGAGCCTTCACGGATAATACCAGCTTTTAAGATTGATTTCCCACGCACCAATCACAATATAGGTACAAGGAAACTACTTTTGGACTAAAGCAGGGAACCCTGACATTACAATCTGTTTAGCACCATCCTATCTAAATTCATGGCAGTGTACTGATGGCCACTATCAAATAAGAAAATCAGTCAACAAATCCCACCATTACTTCGATTCTGAAAAGAGCGAGCCATTTACCATCTTCATTTGATTTACCACAGCATATCTAGCCCATCTGCTAAATACTTGGGGGAAATAATCTTATTAATATGGTAGATACCATGGCCTCCTACTGCCTCACTGCCACCCGAAACTTGTGAAAACTGAAATTCGTTTAGTTTCTCCGCCCGTGAAGCTCCAGAAACTGAGGCAGAGCACGCTTATTTTCTCAAAAACCGAGAGCCTGAAGACCCAAATTCTAAAACAGCGTTTCTAAAACAGCATACATACATCAACCCTACGTTTGTGAGTGGATGAAGTCTGGTCCTTCCCCCAAAGTACTTTAGCATTTGCTTCCATTCTACCTCTGAGGATTACCTTAGGTGACCAGTCGACTGTCCATCAACCTCTCCTCCAACCCCATCAAGGTGGGGGCACGTCACGTAGGGCCAGGAGACTTAGGGCTTCCCGGCCACTCGGGGCGGATGCTCTGGCACCCAACACTACGGCTCAGTTCCGGAGCACTGCGGTCACAGTGCGGGGCCGAGCAAGCAGCACTACCCGGAACGGGGACTGCGGGGGGCGGGGGCGGAGCAGACCCGCACCGCGCGTGGGAGGGGCCGGAAATGTTTACAGCGCGACCTCGGGAAACGCGGAGCTGGGAGTCAAGCCCGGTGAGAAGCCGCGACCCTCGGGACCTCAGAGCGGGGTACACCTGGGCTGTCCCCTCCGCGGGCCTGCAGAGCCCGAGTCCTGTCCACCGGCCTCCCGGAAAACTTACGGCCAGGCGAGCTGCCTCTGCTGGGGGCCGCGGGCCCCTGCGCTACATCCCGCGGCACTGGAGGCAGCTGCGGCCAAACAGCGCTGGATCCTCAGCGCCCGCCTCGCGCCGGAAGGGGCGCGCGGCCGCACGGCGTCACCTCCGCAGTCGCGTCACCTTCTTCGGCTCCACCTCGCCCCTTCCAATCCAGGCATTCCTCAGGTCTCAATCACCCGCACGCTCCTCCGCTCCGCCCCCGCGCAGGCTCCGCCCCTCTTCCTCGCCTAGGGCCGCCCCCCTCAGGCTTGGTCCCACCTTCCCCGCGGAGGCTCCGCCCCGGCGCAGGCCCACCTCCCGGGTCTGACCAATCGCTGGTTCCGGCCGTTTCACACTGTCCAATTGCAAACTCCATCCCTCCAGCGTAGTCTGAAGTGCGGGAGTGCGTGATGGAGAACATCCAGAGAATTAGACCGATCCCTGAGAAGGAATGCTGAATTTCCTACCATACACCTCATGTAGGCCGGGAAATAATCCGCACCTTTTTTTTGCTAGTGTTTGTCGTTCCAGTTCATCTCTGGAACTCTTTTTTTCTTGGTGCTGTTGGTTGAACCTCTCAACCACTGAGCCACCTCACCAACACTGAAACACTTTTTTGTTGTTTTGTTTGAGAAAGGATTTAATTCTGTAGCCCAGGCTGGCCTCGAACTCGTGGCAGTCCTCCTGCCTCAGTCTCCAGAGTGCTGTAATTACAGGTGTGCGCCACCTCACCATACCCGGCTCTGAAACACTTCTTAATCCCATCTCCAATTTCTTGATCCCTCCCTCCCCTCCTTCTGTACATTATTTAGTGAGCGACTGCCATGTGCCTGAACAAGGTTTGAGTTTTGGTTCCTGTTATTTCTCAGGAAGGGCAAAGTTATTTCTAACCAGTCTAGCTTGAGAACCCTCCCCAGCTCATGCGCCCATATGATCCAGTGGGCACACCTGGAAGGCAATAGGGTAGTGCTCTGCCCGTGCTGAACCACGTAACACTTGATTTGAGGACTGATCGTTTTCTGATCACATAGACCCAGTTTCCTAGCCACACTTTGATCTTTAGCTCATTACTGAGTCCTTCCAAATAATTATCTAATCTAAAAGATAGGGGGAAATAGTACTTCATCAGGTCTGTGTCAGGACTAAGTAAAACAGTTGCTGCAGGATCTTAGTATGATGCCTGGAAAATGATTAGTGATTCATAATGGCTAGCTATTAATGTGTTGCCTGCTGTTAAAACGCCTCATAAATTTTAGATTGAGTTCGTTTCTTTGGCATGGCTCTTTGCAAGTTGCTTTAAACTACTGCAGGCTTCATCTTCCATCTTCCTCTGCCATTTTGGGCCTCAGTTAATTTTTCCTGATTCTCCTTCACTCCTTCAGGCTTTCACACTCCAATCCTTCTGTTGCCTTTCCCTCACTGTCTACCAAAAGATCCAAGCAGTTTACAATGCCTACCTAGTTCTAGGTTTGGCTTTGGCTGTAGATAATTTTAGTCAGATTCAGGCTTTACCACTGACCAACTATTTTCTTTAGCAAATCCTTGATCTTCAACTAACAGGATTAGCAAAATGGTTATCTTAGCACCGTACTGGACATGTCTGTCCACCAGACATGTCTGTTAAAGTTGTTACTTCTTTCTCCTTTCCTTCCTCTGACTCTTCCTCAATCCCTTCCCATTTGAACCCTGTATCTATCTCTGGAAGCAGCGTTAATCACAGTCTTGTGATTATTTGTCACTTATCTTTCATTTTGAGGGCTTTTGGGGGGGGGTGCGGTGATCTACCACGAGGTATTCTCAACCACAGCCATATCCTCAAGACTTATTATATTGCTTGGTCACATGATGTGTCCTTAATAAATATTTGTGGGTTGAATGAATGAGGCTGACTTATTTCTGTGCTAAATGAGGAATGGTAAGCTTACATGTGGGAAATTCTCTTGGCTGAGCTGCTTCACTAAGCTTAACTATCCTAAGCAAAACTTTCCTTACTGATAGTAAGGTGTCTCACAGAACACAGTGCCACATACATAGTAGCTGATCAAGATATTTTAGATGGAAAACCAGGTGTGGTAGTGCACACTTTTAATCCCACCACTCAAGAGGCAGAAGCAGGTAGGTCTTTGTGAGTTTGAAGTCAACCTGATCTACACAGTGAGTTCCAGGTCAGCCAGGGCTACATAGTGAGATCCTGTTTCAAAAACAAGGATGTATTAGATGGAGTAACACCAGAATTGACTGAAGACTGTCCTATTGCCAGGTATAGCACTCTCTCTCTCTCTCTCTCTCTCTCTCTCTCTCTCTCTCTCAGTGCTAAGGGTCCCATATTCATTGATATTCATTGCAGGAAACAATGTTGACCTTCCAACTGAATCCAAAGATTGCTTTGTCCCAATAAGGCTAACAAAGAGGAAGTCAAAGAAGTTGCCTTAGTCCTATCCTGGGTGAAGGGGGTAGACTAGATCATGCTCTCACAACCAGAGGCCATTCAGGACAGATGGACCTGGAAAAGGCTAACTCTATCTAGTCACCAAGTCTGTTCAGAGCTGGTGATATCAGGTTACTTTGTAAAGGGGAAGGTAACTCTTCCAAACGGGAAGGCAATATTTTGTTTTATTTGCCAGGTACACTGAAGGATAAATAATGTGAAGGCAGGTCCCCAGAAAGAAGGGGAAGACTGGCCAAATCAAGGGACTGCTGGGAAGGATATCTGTACTAAAAAAAAACTTCATCTATGTTTTCCTTCCCCTACATCCAAAGCCTCCAGGGAAGAGTTGAGCCCTGGCTCTACTGAAACAGCTGCAGAAATGAGCACTGGGTCTGGTGGTGGCTCACATTTCAGCATGTGGTACAACTGCTCCAATGCTCTTTAGAAGACTCAGGAGACTCTATGCTTGGAGGCCTTCCCTCCCAAAGTCCTTAGGCATTGAGAAACAAAGACCCCAAGCAATGACTCCTTGAGATCATGTCAGGGCTTCAGCCCCATTTATTCAAACAACCAAAGACTCCCACTACAGTGATCTTAGGTTGTTGGTAACTGTTTCCCTGTAGCCTGGACAGGAGCTGAGAGATACAAGCACACAAATATATGTGTTAGGCTCCTTTCTCTGACGATTGGAATTCTGAAAAAAAAATTCCTCTTTACCTACTGTTATATAGGACTATGCCTACAAGTTTATTCAACTTGCACTCACATAAGTAGAATTTGCCCATAGGTAAAGCATTAAATATTGAGTAAAATGCATTGCACAGTCATCATAGACAAGTATATGATGCTCTCAGGAACCAACCAATCTTATAATAAATGTACAAGTTCCCTTCTTTCTGACCCTAAGAAAGAGAGTGGTCCATGGGCCTTGGGGAGGTTTCTAGGGAGTGACTCAGTCCTCATCTTCCATGGCTACAGGAGTGTTGTTTCAGTAAGCATCCAGATTTCAGTTCCAGAATAAGACACAAAAGGCTGCTGCTCTCAGAAAAGGCATCTAGGCATTACAATGTTTGAGAATTGACTAGGGATGATTGCACACACGGGATCAAGGAGGCTGGGAGGTGCTCAGTAGGTGAACCTCATCTTTTGTGAATAGCCCAGCTTGTCCAAGTTGGGGTGGCAGGCCAGCTGCACCATTGGTGGTGGTCCACAGAGCAACAGCAGCACATCATCTGCTGGGGCAGGCAGGTGCTCCTGGATCATGTCAGCAGTCACAAAGCCTTTGCTGTAGGTCCAATCTGGAGTACAGAGCAGAGGGAGAACTGATTCTTCAGACCCATACCAGCAAGGGAATATGATACCCTCTAAGACAGACTACTGGGAAGACCTTAAGGGGCTCCTGAGAAGGTCTTAGGTTGTAGCAGCAATTATAGCCATATCCCTGCCACCCACCTGGTAAATAGGAGCCTGAAGGAAGGGACCAGAGACCACTATGTCTGTGTACTCAGACTTGGGATTCTGGCAGTGTCAGGGAGGGTCAGTTTCACTGAAACCAGAACCCACAGAAGGCAAAGGCCTTGATTTTTTTTTTATCAAGGGTGTATCCGGATGCTGAGAAATGGCAAGATACCTTTTGGGGGATGGTCCAAAGTGAACCAGAGTTTAAAGCGATTAGGATACTGGGCCTGCAGTTCCTCTAGGTCCTCCCGTAGGATTATGTCCTTTTCAGTCTGAAATGCAAATGGGAAGCAAAGCCTTAGCCATCTCAGGTTCACATCAGAAAAGTTCTTGCTATCACAGCTCCTAACCAAGAAAAAAAAAAAAAAAAAAAGGAATACTAAAGGCATGCTAAAGTTCTAGGGATGAAGCAAGACTTGCAGTGCTTTAAAGGATGAGGCGAAATGGCCTTTATTTCTACATTACAAAGTAATATTTGACCAAGAAGATCTAAGTTTCTATGCTCAGCATGTGATGCCTTAAATCTTGTTTCCTTGGGAGCCAGTGAAAAAAATTGACTCAATACTAGTCCTCTTTCCTTCATATTATGGTAGAGGACCCTGTGCTTTGCAGGGGGCAGAGTTTGGACAGATGGTACAACAGGTGCTGGGCTAGTTCTATCCATTGGTTCCACATTTCTCAGCCCTACTCACACACCCAACTTTGAAGTGCTGGGACTAAAAAAAGCAAACCAACCTGGTTGGCAAAAAGCAGAAAACACTGAGTTGGATCTTCATGGACTTTCAGGATGGCCCGGATCAGCTGCAGCATTGGGGTGATTCCTGCACGAGGATACCCCCTAGTTAGATGTGGTAGCCATACTCTCTCTGTTCTGTTCTAGCTCCTTGGCTGACCAACCCTGTCATCTCAAATCTGAGCAGTCACATGGTATACATTTTCCTTTTGGACCTAATCCTCTGACCTCTACTAGTATATTTGTCCTTAATAGTCATGCAAGTCCACACTAAGACAATTTGTCTGAAAGTCCTTTGGAACTCAAATGTCATATATTACTAATGTCCCTTCTGATTCAGTGGTGAGAGTTCTGGAAGTGCATAGCTACCTATTTTATAATGCTGGTTGCATATTTGGATAATATGCATCCAATATATACATTTAAAACATAGGAAATCTGATGTGAATTTTCTTTCTTTTTTGATATGGGGGACTGAATCAAGGGCCTTAAACATGCTAGGCAAGTGCTTTATACCCCCGGCTCTCTTCCTTTATTTTGAAACAGGATCTTACTAAGTTGGCTAGGAACTTTCTAGAAAGTTGCTATGTAGTCCAGGCTGACTTTGAATGCTTTTGTTGTTTTATTGTTGTTTGAAACGGTCTTAACGATAGTGGCAGGCCTGGAACTTGCAATGTAGACCCAGGCTCACAGAGATCTGCCAGCCTCAGCCTCCCAAGTGCTAGGATTAAAGGCATGCACCACTACACCCAACTGACTTTGAGCTTGTGATCCTATTGCCTCAGCTTCCAAGTATCTGGGATTACAGGGCTGTATCACCAGCCCTGATTTTTTTTCTTCTCAACTATTTATTGTTAGCTATTTCTCTCAAAATCATTAAATCCATTCAGTTTGTTCTATCAGTAAATTTTCCTTTTAGTTTTCTATTTGCTTATATTTACAGCTATTCGGGAGCTCTAGACACTGAATGTAATCTGCTAATTAACATCTTGTCTGTTATTACCAAACCTCAGGTCACTTGGGAATCTGCATAGCAAAATCCAATAATACTGGGTGAAAATGGCCCTCAAGTGACACATACCTGTTCCCCCAGCAATCATTCCCAGTTTCTTTGCCACTCGAGTTTCAGGTGGAGATTTCTTGTTGGGTTGAATGTTAAAATTTCCTGAGAAGGTGAGTGAAAAGACAGGTAAGAAAAGCAAAGTCAAAATGGGAAACTATGTAATACAGATTTGAAAATATGTTGTAGCCCATTTTAGCAGTTGCTAGGAAATAGGATCCTAGGACTTGGTCAGAGATTTGAATTGAGCCAACCCTGACAATTATACCTGAGGGACAATGGGGCTGGGCTATCTGCCTGCCAGTCAGTTCAGTGGCACATAGTGAATATCAGCATCTCTGGCAGAGGGTCACTCCCTAGTGTGGGGTGACTGGCCTGGGTCCAGGTGTGAGTCTACTTTTCCTAGTGGCCAAGAGCAGCCCCAGGGGCATGATAAGGCATCCAGTTATTCCTACAAGAAGGGCTAAAACCCCATTTGCTCTAGTTTGCTTTTCCATTGCAGTGACAAAACACTGACCAATACCAACTTGGGAAGGAAAGGGTTTATTTGGTTTACATCTCCTGGGTCACAGTTCATCACTGAGGAAGCCCAAGGTAGGAACTCAGGGCAGGAACCTGGAGGCAGGATCGGGAGCACAGGCCATGGAGGAACACCACTAACTGGCTTGCTCCCCTGATCCCTGCTCAACCTGCTTTCTTATACAAAATAGGCCCACCTGCCCATGGGTGGCACCACCCATAGTGGGTTGAGCCCTCCCACATTACTCAATAATCAAGAAGATTGAGGCTCCCTCTACCCAGGTGTGTCAAGGTGACAACTAAAGCTATCCAGCACATCACATAACTCCAGGAGATCCAATGCTTTTGGCTTCCACAGGCACCCACACTTATGTGCACATACCCCCCCCCATACACACACATACACATAATTTAAAATAATAAAAAGTATTTTTAAAGCTTTCTTTTTTGATTCTTAGCCAAAGGGAAGACTATTTGAGGGAGAAAAGGAGAGGCACAGGTTTACTCTGGTGATCTCCACACTTGTCTGCCATGAGTGGTAAACTCAGGTAGATGAGGAACTAGCTCCTGGATGAATAGGATTGAAATCCGCCTTTCTGTCATGTTTGTGCTATGTTTAGGATCCCTTAAACATGTACACACAAACACATATACAAACTGTACCAAGGAGACTATAGAATAGGAGAAGTGAGATTGTAGGCCTAAGGAAAAAACAGATACTCACCTTTCCCAGTGTAAGTAAGCAACCCACTTGGTCCCCGGAACTCCACCACATCCCCAATCTTCAGGCTATCCAGATACTGAGACATCTTTCCTCCTTCGGGAAATTTGGGGTGCACACCTTTCAGATAAACCTGATGAGGATGAGGAAGAGAGGAAGAAAATACCCTATTTGGGATGTGACAGAGGCTGAATCTGGCATTACACATGTATCTTTCCCCCTAGGTCATGCACTTTCCTCATATCCACAGAGAACCTGCCATCTTCTGCTATCAGAGGACTCTGGGAAGTTCAAAAAAACCTCACAAAGAGCCTCTAGGGTTCCCTTCTTTTGGGGAGAGTCTGTTCATGGGTACACACCTGCCCCAGCAAGTATGGAGAGGTCAGAGAACAACTTCAGATGTTGTCTGAGTCCTCCACCTTGTTTGAGACAGGGTCTCTTTTGTTCACTGCAAGCCTAACTGGTCCCCAGGCTCCACTTCTGATAATTCTCTGGTCGCCTCCTCCATCTCCCAGTCGCAAGCTGAGATTACAGATGTATGCACTACTATGTACAGCTTTTACTTGGGTTCCAGGAATCCAAACTCAGGTTGCCATGCTTGCACGCGTTCTTTACCCAGTGAGCCTGTCATCTTCCCTAGCCCTTGGAGCTCCTCTCTATACTTTACCTTGATAACAAGATCCACGAAGCCCTGGTCCTCATCACTGGTGACAGGAGTGTATGGCCTGATGACCAGGCTGCCATCAATTCGGGCAGAGAGGTAGACATGCTTGCCTTGGAACCACAGAGAGATCTACATAAGCTGCTGTGGATGTGCTGTGCCTTATCACCTTTTAAAAATACTCAAATTTAGGCTGGGCGTGATGGTGCATGCCTTTAGTTCCAGCCCTTTAGAGGCAGGCCAATCTCTGTGAGTTCAAGTCCAGCCTGATCTACATAGGGAGTTCCAGACCAGCTGGGGCTACAGGAAGATCCTGTCTCAAAAACACCAAAACAAAACAAACAACAACAACAAAACGACTCAAATTTGAGAGAACACAATGTTTTGTTTTCTGCTGCGGATCCAAGAAATTTCCCAATAGGGAGGATTCACCCCAAGATTCCTCAGCAGGCTCTCTCTCCAGCCTCCTATCAGAGAAACTCCTCTCAACTACTGCCAGGCCCTTAACAGCAGTGAGCAGGTCTGTACAATGGGAAGAAATTATGTTTACTGGGGCAAGGCTTAGGAGCAAGTCCTACAGGAAAGAGGGAGGACTGCTGGGTGTTAAAGATGCCTGGGGGCACAGAAGTCACACCCTAAAGGAGCCCAGAGGTTCTTCAAGCCTGGAGGATTCAAAGCCATGGGAGAGATGGGAAATGACACATGGAGGGAAAAGAGGGAAGCAGTGATTTGCCCTCCTGGGATCCCAAGGAGAGGGGCCCACTCCCCCTTCCTTACCCACAGGCAGCCCTAGAATGTGGTGGGCGGTGGGCAGGGCAAAGCGGAACCTCTTGGTGTTGTGGCTCACAGTCTGGAGGATGGATAACAAGATATTTCAGGAAAGCGGTCTGGCGCTGCCTAGTCTCTTGGAGCAAACCACCGTGGATGCCATCACTCAAACTACAACTCTGGTCCCCTTTACCCATGCCTTTTTCGTCACATCTTACCGTCTTGTCCAGCAGTCGCAGCAGGTACTTCTCATCTGGGTCCAGGAGAGTCACCCTCAGCTGGCGGGACCTTCGAACTAAGTAGGTACCCAGAACCAGGCCGAGCACAGTGATCAGCCCCACCCCCAGAGAGGCTAGAAGGACTGGGCTCTGTGGGTGAAGAGGCAGCGTGATCGCCACACTGGGGAAGAGCCAAGGCGTGGGTGGAACCCTCCCGAGGCCACCCTCCCTGACGACCAGGGGTGGCGATCCCAACCAAGCTCTAACAGAAAGCATGCGGAGCAGGAGAGGTGAGCAAGCAGGGTCTCCAGCCCAGTGTTGGTGCAGCAGGACCCCAGCATCCAGGACCCGAACAGCCCTGCGGGGCTGGGCTGACTGCCCAGAACCAGCTGGGGCGAGGTCCCAGGGGGCAGGACACCGACCGAGGGTCTTACCTGCTGGATCCCCATGGCCGCGTCCCGCACCAGCTGGGGCTGACAGATCCCACAAAGCGCCGCGCGAGGGCTGGGTGGCGGGGCCTCTGGGAGGGGCCTGAAAGAGGCGGGGCTGGCTGGGATGCCCCGCCCCTTCCCTCCTGACTGGCCTAAGGGCTCTGGATCACCTCTATCTGCAGTTCCAGTCCCACTTTCCAGCTTTCTGGCCTCTGCCACTTGCCCTTACCACAAAAGGAAGGGATGGCAGTTCTAGCTAACACCGAGCCAGGCTAACTCGTGAGATGAGAAATTTAGTTTGCAAACGCCTCATGGAAAGTGGAGTGTTGAGCCAAGCCAGGCTAAAAGTAGAACGGGAAGGCCCGAAATTAATCATCCAGTAGCCACTCTGTTTTTCTTTTTTTTTTTTTCCTGGACAGACTGACTTGCCAGACAGTTGAACCGCCTGGTGAAGTCTCTTTCAGGAAGGAAGAAGAGCCTGGCAACTTCATTTCCCAGTTCTCTGGACAAAACAACTGGTTTTGTTTACGACATCAGTTCATTAGAATCAGTCAGTTCTTTTGGGTCCAAGTCAAGTCAAGCTTTATGTTCGGTATGGTTTCGCCTTAACAGAGGTAAAGATCTGGGCTCTAGAGGCGAATTATACGCCTAAGAATGATGTCTCTAGTCCTTATTGGCCTCGTGACCTTGAACAACTTACTTCATTTCTCTGTATTTCTTCATCAATAGATGGATATACATCATCATTTTCGAAGGACACTCGGTTCATAGTGTTATGAAGCCCAGTGAGATATGAGTACTTAGTGTAATGCTATCAGAGAACAAAGTATCCAGTGGATGTATAGCGACTACTATTAACTCAGAGATAGCCCTGAGACTCCCTTAGAGTTTAGGACTCAGCTCTGTTGGCAGCAGAAGCATGGAACAGGAGACAGATACTGGAAGCCACTAGAGTTATACATTTGCCAAGATGACCATGCATTCTCACAAACAAATCTCCAGAGTGACATTTGCTGTTTGATGTACAGTGATTGATGAGAGTTCCACACATGTTACTGTCAACATCAGAAACTACCACCTTCAGGGCAGCAGGGACATTGAAGCCTCATTTTTCAGTAAGTTCGAAATGATCTAAGAAAGACTTTGTTTTCCTTTTTCTGGGCTAGCTGAAAATGTCACTCAGACCTGGGTACATCCAAGTCAGAATTTTCAGATCAGTTTGTACAGTGTCTTGAGGAAAGTCAGGGTGTGCTAGGGTGGGGCGAAATGCCTGTCAAGGTAAGGGAGGGATCGCTTTCTTTCTCCTTTTCTGTTCTGAGCGACCCATGGAATTATGCTCTAGAATTTCTGACTCCCTTCACTTCATTTAAGCCAAAAAGCCACACTTTCTATTAGTCAATTCTGTCTGGAGAAGTTCCAGGTCTTCCTCCATTTACTGAGGAGGATGTGAGAGAAGAGGAAGAGGAGATCATACTTAGAGTTCAAAGGAACATTCTTGAACCAGTAAGAGTATGTCTTTGGAAAGCATGGGGATATGAGATTAGGCTTATCCTGAGAACTAACTGAATGATCTCAACTGTCATATTGTTAGAGACAAAATCAGGGTCCCAAATCAAGAGACCACTACTCAAATTAAGGCATTCTAGAGAGCAAACACACACCACACACTATCACAATAGCCTTTGTCTTTTTATTTTTCTTTTGGTCTTTTATCCTCAGTGCAGGGGGACAGCTCAACTGTTTCTCATTGACTGAGATTCAACGTCACAGTCTACTCCTGATTAGCTGGTTTGAGGGGCGACAAAGAAGAACAAAGGAAGAATGCAGCACTGGTACAGGTTACACATCTAGTTAAATACCAAAGCATCCTGGGAAATGAGTTGGGGCACAGGGACAGTTCAGGAGTTTGATTACATCTGGTTGGGAAACACATATTTCTTAACAAATGAACCTGGGGGAGAAGGAACATGAGAAGAAGTAGGCATAGAGTTGGTAAGTCATTTTGACAGAAAAGACTAGACTTCTCACAGGCCTTCTAAGTAAATAGTCCCTAACCACAGAGGGCTGACAAGAACCCAACCTCCATGCCATTAAGGATTTGCAGCCTGACTACTGTCATGTTTCATGTGTCATGTCTTAAGTATCAACAGCCCCATACATCCCATGTGTCATGCCCCACAGGTCCCATATTAATCTGGCCCCATGCTCTGGTGGTAAGCACCTCACCCTCTTCCCTACCTCTTCCTTGTAGACCTTAAAAAGAAGACACTTTGTTTTGTCTTGGGGTGAACTGAAACTTTACTTCAGCCCCCTCTACCATGCTATTAACATTAATAAACTTCTTGCTTAAAGGACAATTGGGCTGGGTGTGGTGGCTCACACCTGCAGTCCCAACACTTGGGAGGCAGAGTCAGGCAGATCTCTGTGAGTTCAAGGCCAGCCTGGTCTACATAATGAGTTCCAGGACAACAGCTGGGGCTTACAGGGAGACCCTGCTTCAAAAAGACCTCCCCCCCAAAAAAAAGGACAATTGGACTCAGTGCCTCTGTCATGACTGCCTCTCTCTAAAACGTTAACAGCCAACACCTGTGAATGAGCTGCTTAGTCCTGAAAATGAAGGCTGTAGGAGGTGGAGAGTGGCTGCTGTCCTGATTTGAAAGCTGGGCCTTTCTGGGACAAGATTCTGTGGTCCCATGTTACCAGTCCTGAAGATGAATTATGCCTTACTATGACTCAGTAATTTGTCATTTACTCCTCGTTGGGAGGAAAAGGGGGATTTATGGAATTTATCCAATTTAATTTAAAAAAATTTTTATTTAATAACCATATAATTAGAAGAAGCATTTCATGACAACAGCATTGACATAGTCAATAACAATTTCCAGAGCTAAGATGCATCTGTTTCAAGACTGGCTGTAAATTTTTAGGTTTACAGTTGAATTAATACAGTTATACAATATTGTAGTCAGTATAAACCCTTTAAGACATAAAATTAAAT